ATTTCAAACGAAAATTGAGGAGAATTCCTGCATAATTTTCGGAGGAGAAGTTCTTAGCAGAATACCAGAATTATTGTGACTTGAAGTCCTTAGATATTGTTAGATGAATTTAGAGGGATTTCCGGGGAGAAGAATCCAAGTTAGGTTATTTTAGAAGATTTCAAAGTTGTGAAAAAAAAACTTTAAGGAAAATTTCTACGTGATTCTGAGGAGATTTGTATGGGGATCGTGAAGATGACAGATGAATTTTAGGAAGAATTCCAAGAGAATAATGATGAGAATTCAACAAAAACATAGTTCTGAATAGTGTTCTGGGGATAATTTCAACCCTAGTGCGAAAGATTCATCACAGAGCTCCAAAAAAATTGATGGCAAAAATTGCTGATAGTAAGAAAGTAATTATTTAAAATACTCCAAAATTATAAAGTAGAAATTCAAAGAAATCAAAGTCTTCGAATAGGTTCAAAGGAATTCTATGAAGGATTATGATAAAACTCTTAGAAGGGATTTCAAGAAAATGCCAAACAGAATTCAACGGTAATTATAATGTAGTGTATTTTCTTATTAATTTCAGAAAGATTCATGATAATCCAGAGCAGAATTTCTAGTTAATTCTGGAATTCATATCATGAGAATTTTGAATAAAGAAAAAATTAATTAACCCCAGAAAAGAATAGTTCAGTTTCGGTTTTTACAAATATTTTTTCCAGCATCTTCAATATTTTCTTTTAATGTCAATGTATTTTAGATCTGAAATTAAAACGGCACCAATCAATTTGCCAGCAAAAAATTGCTGAGTGATTCAATTATTAAAACGGAAAACTGAAGATAATTATGCATCAAATAAAGTAAGGCATTCATTTGGTAAAGAATCACTCTGTTTTAATGGTTTATTCTTACATTCTGGTGTAAATATTTATTCCTGTCCCGAGCAGGAGAAAATAACTAATGAATATCTAATTCTGACACGATAGCAAAATTTACTATTGAGCAAACAGCATCCCGCACAGGAACGAATATCTCGATACCGTAAATTGGTATGGATGAGCCTGACATAAAAGGTTAAATACCAAAAAATATTACCAAAAATATGTTCCCACAATACCGTTCCAATACCATGATTATGAAAATGCAATACTAAAACAATACCACACAGGTATTCTTTTGGTATCCAAATATCAAGTTTTCTTATTTCCAAAGTATATTTTGGTATTATTCTTTGGTATTTTTTCTCTTATGTCATGCTGATGAATACCAAATTTTGGTATCAGGTCAGAATTAGGTATTCATAAGTTATTTTCTCCTGCTCGGGATATGACATCCCGAGCACGAGAGAATAACTTAATAATACCAAATTCAGGTATGACGCTTTTTAGGATGTCAGAATACCATAATTTGTTTTTTAAACGGTCTTCTACTACCATTCCAATACCTCTTTTGAGTGTTATTGTCTAAAAACTGAAACATCAGCCCGAGCAGGAACTGATAACTAACCGATAACATATGAATATCTTAATGTCGTGTGATACCTTATTTTGGTATGCTTGTGGCATGAAAACTTGTTTTGATATTATTAAGTTATCGAAATGTTTTGTAAAATATCAAATAAATATCAAAATAACAAAATGTGATCTTTCAGTTTTAGACAATAACACCTCAAAGAGTTATTTTATTGGTATTAGAAGACCTTTGAACTAGCAAGTCATGGTATTCTGGCATGAAAAAAAGCGTCTGTTATCCGTCAGTTATTATAATAACTAAATTATTTATTGGTTCGTTATTTGTAGAACATTTTTAGGGTATTAATTTAGGTATTTTACCTCTTATGTCAGCCTTGTCAATACCATATTTAGGTTGCCAGTTATGCTATTTTCATACCTGGATTTGGTATCCATAAGGTATTTTCTTTTGCTCGGAAGGTTTTGTTATTTTGGTACTTACCCGAGCAGGAACGAATATCTCGATACCTTAAATTGGTATGGATGAGCCTGACATAAGAGGTAAAATACCAAACAATAATACCACAAAAATGTTCGCAAAATACCATTCCAATACCAAATTATGATAATGCAATACCAAAACAATGCCACCCAGGTATTCCTTTAGCATCCAAATATCAATTTTTGGTATTTACAAAGTATTCTGCATGTAATATTTTGGTATTATTCTTTGGTATTTTACCTCTTATGTCATGCTGGTCAATACCAAATTTGGTATCAGTTCAGAATTAGGTATTCATTAGTTATTTTCTCCTGCTCGGGTATTAATTTTTTTTAAATATTTAGATACCTGAATAATAGCAAAACAAGGTTTAATACCACAAGCATACAAAAATAAGATATCATACCACATTAAGATATTCATATGTTATCGTTAAGTTATTGGTTCTTGCTCGGGATAACCCAAACAGGAGACAATTACTAATGAATACCTAATCCTGATCTGATACCAACATTTGGTAAAATACCAAAGAACAATACCAAAAAAATTGCATGCAAATTACTTTCTAAATAACAAAAAAATGATATTTGGATACCAATAGAATACCTGTGTGGTATTGTTTTGGTATTGCATTATCATAATTTGGTATTGGAATGGTATTGTGGGATTTTTTTTTATTATTTTTTAGTATTTTACCTCTTATGTCAGGCTCATCCTGCTCGGGATGGTATGGTTAATTTATTTTTCCCGGTTCTCTCGTCGAATTCCCGGGTTTTACCCGGTTTTCCCGGTTACTTTTCAAATTCCTGGATATTTCCCGGTATTCCCGGTTTTCCTAGCCACCCTGTGTTTGGAGGATGTTGGCAAAAATAAACGATGGTTTTTGCAGTTAAATGAACATTAGGCCTCCGAAGGGAATGATTTCAATGGAAAATATTTCTCCTGCTAGTTCAAAGGATTGTAGTCCAAAAAGTAAGAAAATAAGATTCTGAGTTGAGAAAAAAATTCACACGCGCCACTGATGCTCTGTCAACGTAGGCATGAGAGAAGATTATTCACGTAATCTATTAGTAAGACGACATTAGACTGGCCCACACAAATAAAAGTTCTGATTTTCCACGGAAGAACTCCTAGATTTGTGCCTTTAGGTGAGAAAACCATTCTCTGAAAGGTTTAGCTCATTTGATTGTAGGATGAGCTGGTGCTTTTAGTTTGAATTTTGTATGGGGAATTTGGATAAAATACATGCAAAAAGGACACTGCTGCACTCTATCAATCATAGAAAAGTTTCCACATTCTTGATTTGATTTAGATTTTCAAAACGTGTAGTTCAAACAATGAGTAACAACTTTGCTGAAGATGGCATCATGAATCCAGTTAGTTTGATGGAGAGATTGGTTTTTGAAAAGATATGAGCATTTCGTATATGAAAATTTCCACAAAATCTTCTATATAAACATTAAACCAAAAGCGCCAGCCCGTGTAACATCAAATTGAGCTGATAGATTCAGAGAGTGGTTGTCGCACCTTAAGACACGAGCCTGGATGTTGGTCTGTGGATACGTTGCATTAACAGCCTGTATTTTGTTGCTTTAAAGGAGCAGAATGCACATAATTAATTAATATCTCCATAATACTAACTTGAAACGGGATGCTATTTTGACCGAAGTTGTTCCTTGTAATTTGAGCTACGAGTGCTAAAATTCTGAGCTTTAATCGAGTTTGCTGAATCAGTCCTATGCACGAAAGAGTGAAGGAATATTATGTCTCCATACTTTTCAACCAATATCTCCATGTAACATTTAAATCAAAAGCGCTGGCTTGTGTTACATCCGAATGAGCTGAAATTTTTAGGTAGTGGTTTTCTCACCCAAGGGGAAACAGTCCTGTTTTTGCGGTACGTTTGTAGCGTTAGAAGCCTATTGCTGTGTATGGAGGTCTCCATACACAACAATAGGCTCCTAACGCTTCTAACGTATCACAACAATAGGACTGTTTCCCCAATGGCACAAATCTAAGGGTTGATCCGTTGAAAAAAATTATACAAAATTTATTTCGAAGTAAATGTGGATCAGTCCAATTCAAAAGCAAAATATGTTCAATTTTAATAAATATAATAAAGCAATATAAGGAGCAATCTCAGTCAGCCTAGTAAGTAAAGGAACGATACCACCAATCCGGGGCGGCGGGTTCGATTCCCGATCTGGTCGAGTTGAAAATCTTTTTTTGGGCTTGCCACACAATATACAAATGTTTACATTGGTTGGTATTCAATGTTCTCAATTAATAACTGTAGAAGTGCATCTAGAACACTAAGTTGAGTGCCGGCAAAACGTTTGCTACAGGAGCGAAAAAAAAACTTCGAAGAAGAAAAAGAAGTTCAATGCTAGAAAAATTCACAAAAGTTTAAATTACTGGCATCGTGCTGGAATGCAACAAAAATTAAATCGTTGCTGAAAATTAACTACGTCAAAGCAGCAGATACGTAGCGTAATAAATTTCATCTAGTTGAACACAATGTATCCCCAAGAATTAATTTAAAAACATTTTAACACTTCACAAGCAATAAGGCCAAATCAATGAACTACAGACATTCCAGTCGATGCCTTTTGGTCAGTTCCTACTCTTTCGAATTTCGCCTCAAAATCTTAGGTTTTTACTCAACAAGCCCTGAACTTGTCTGCAAAAAAATTGTTATGGCAATTGTGCCACTTCACACTAATCGCAGCAAAACAGCAGTTTTTTCAGCATCCAGCATCCTTGTTAGGTCAGCGCTAATGAGTAGTAGTTTAACATTCGTATCACTTTCACTGCTTTCGGTTACACAACCGTGTAGCCGGCAGGCAAAATGCACGCTTTGGGTTTCTATACCTTTTCCCACATGCCGAGCACTCAAGTTCCATGCACTTTTTTTTTTTTTGTTCAACCGTACATTGCATTCACTAAATATTCACTCGTACGGGGTAAACATTCAACCAAATCCAAATTCTCCCAACAGTTCCGGCTCAACTTCTACACATGGGCTTTGTTCTGAATGTCTTTTTTTAATTTTCACTTACCACACTGAACATAATCATTGCTGCACTTTTTGTTCTAGAATCAATCGTTCAAAATATTCAACAAATAGAATTCACGTTAAAAGTCCACAGTTTAAAACTTTGCCAACCGAGCACTGACGCGAAGTCCTGAGATGCTAGTGCTCGAGATCTGCACGGACACACTGCGATGAGATTAATAACGAAATTGCTTACCCGAGCAAAGTCTTTTATATGATTACCTTCTCTCAGTTGGCCCAAAAGCCATCGGCGGCGGCGTCGACGATGACGATGACGACCACGACGACGACGACTCGCGCAACCCTGCTCCAGTGAGTTTTCGGGGATGCTTATCTCACTTGCTGCTGCTGTTTGCACCAACCGGTGCTGCGCGCGTAAACGAGCTCTTCTTGGAGTTGGGCTTTTCTCTGTCACTGACTAGCGTGGCATTTCAGCGGAACAACTCGAGCAAGATCACGCTGCGCGCGGTGGGTTTGATTTTCCGATGATTTTAATTATAATGTTGCACATTTTAGTACAGGATCCACTGTCGTCAATTTGATAGAGGTCCAGTGATAAGGCGATAAAATCCTGCTTGAGATGGCGCAGTTTATACGTGTAGTACCAACAGATTACCTACATCAGAATATACAGATATAGTTTACAAAGTTTCATGCTAGCCACATTTATATGGGAGAATGTAATTCATCTTTTTCAACAGGCTAATTCCTTTAGGTGAGAAAATCACTCTCTGGAATGTTCAGCTCATTTGACTGTAACATGATGTGGGGGTTTTAGCTTGTATGGAGGTTTTAGTTAACATTTATGGGGAAATAACACTCCTGAGCAGTTCCAGGTCAAATAACGAACAACTTTTTTTTACCACTCAGAATTCGACGAAGCTTTGCATAATTGTTCGCTAGAGGCAATGCAATGACGCATTCAATATGTTTTAATAACTCGTAGCATGAAAACGGCTCTTCTCGTCGAAATGACGTCTGGTACAAAGTTACAGGAAACAGGATTACTTTTTCAAATATTCACTAAAAAATGTTTAAACATCATTTATACATAGCGGCGCCGGTGATGTAGTGGTAAGCGTCCCAGCAGGCCTGGGTTCAATCCTAGTCGGTGCCCCCGGGATGTTCTAAGGCATAACATCTCTGATCACGCCTTCCTTCGGATGGGAAGTAAAGCCGTTGGTCCCGGGTTCATGAGTTGATGAGTCGATAGTTAGGGTCCACGTGTGGGAGCTGCCTCCCTGGTGTCGGTAGCATTGGTGCTCAGAACGGAAAACAAGATCGACGGAAAACAAACCAAGGAAAAAAATAATTTCATAGATTTTCCTTATAAAACATAATGATGACAAAAAATTATTATGTGAGCACAGACTGGGATCGAATGTTTTAAAGCTTATCGGTATCAAAGGTTTTAAAAAAATCGGAATTTATTATTTTAATTAATTATATATTTTTTGCCGTTTTTGAAAGCAAAAATTTTGACTTTCGGACTATGATTGGAAAATTCCGGAAGAAAACTCCGGGGAATGTTTGAATTAGCTTCTGAAGGAAGCTGAAAACAACATCCAGAGAAAGAAGAAAGAAGGAGGAAATTTTAAGAAAGCTCTGAGAGAAGTCTGAACTTCCAAGACATATATTGATAAACTTCTGGCGAAAATTTAAAGAAACTTTCAGAAAAAAAAATCGGGTTTCACATTCAATGGAAGGCAGAAAAGTTTCGAAAATCGGAAGTAAATTCCAGAAGTAGCCATTTCCAGGGGAAGCCAGAAGAAGCTCGGAAAAACCTCCCAATAGAAGCAAAAAAAAAAGCAGCTGGACAAAATTCCAGAACTAGACGAAAGAAATTTCTTGGAGAAGTTTAGTTGAACTTCCTGGAGAAGACGGAAGAAACTTTCTGGAGACACTGGCAGAAACTTCCTAAGGTAGATTGGGAAAAAAAATATGGAGGAAGTCGGAAACCAGAGTGCTAAGGGAACAGTCGAAAGAAGCAAGGATATAATTACGGAAGAAAGAGCTCTTGGGGGATGTTCAAATGATCCAGAAAATTTTCCAAATGGTCATAAAACATTCCTGAAGACCCCGCAATGCCCCTGAAGTTTTTCGAACATTCCTGAAATGTACTTAGGAATATTCCATATTTCCTCGGAATTCCTTAAAAGTTCTTGTAATTTTCCTTAAGTAAATAGGGCTGTTTTGGAGTACTCTGTTGAATGTTGCTAAAGTTTTTGAAAATTGCTTGAGTTTCTCGGAACTCCTTTTAAATTTCAGCAATTTCTTTGAAATTTATTGATCTGTCCTGATGTTCTTGGAGCTTCCTAAAGTTCTCTAGATTCTCCTGAAACTAAGCTGTCCTGAAAACCATTGAATTTTCCAGAAGTTCTTTGGACTTGTGAAGTATCCAAAATATTTATGATGTTCCTTAAGTTCAATGGAGTTCAATAGACTTTCCTGAAATTTCCGGGTTTTAGAATTTTAACAGAAGTTATTGAAACTTACTCAAAAGTCTGGACTTTTCTGAAGTTTCAGAACTTCTTAAACTATCCTGCAGCTAGTGTGGATCCACAATCAAAATCTGGAAGCCTCCCTGAAGTTCCGGGAAGGTTGAAAAAACTGGCGGGAGAAGATGGAAGAATCATTCAAGTGAAGGCTGAAGTTTCCGAGAGGAATCGAAAAAAAAAAATAACGATGTGAGGTAGAAGAAAATTCAGGAAGTTAAATAATGTTTAAACAGATTTCCCGATTCATCCAGAATTACCAGAAAGAGCCATTAGCGCCATTTAGCGATTCATGCACACTTAAAAAAATTCATGTACATTTAGGTGCTCTGAGACTGACATATACGAGCGTCTTTTTTGACATAAAATTGAGTCGTAATAGACGCAAAACTCAGCTCAATCAAACGTACTTTTCGTCGAGTACCGAACTTTTCAGTCTTGGAGCACTTAATTTTACATGACATGTTTGTTTACGTCTCATCTTTTATGTCAAAGATGGATTCCGTCACGTGTAAAAATAGGTATTTCTAAGTGTGTGGGTAGCCAAAAAGGAAATTGAAACATTAATCGAAAGAGATCACTTAATTAATTTTGGTATCCATGACAGATACGTATTTCGACTACAATGTGCAGTCTTCATCAGTGTCATTCCCACTAAAGAACTTATCAAAATCTAACCCCCTTAAGTACTCATCCCCTAGGTAAAAAAAAGTCAAGATCATAGGTATAAAAATGAAACTACAATGTATTGAATCGGAACCTACCTAACTAATAAAAACCAAAGATTTAAGTAAGCTAAAGGAGAAAAATTTATACAACTCTCTAATAAGGAAAATCCCCAGTAGCCTTTTTCTTATTAGAGAGTTGTATAGATTTTTCTCCTTTAGCTTACTTAAATCTTTGGTTTTTATTAGTTAGGGGATGAGTACTTAAGGGGGATGAATACTTATTAAGGGGGTTAGATTTTGATAAGTTCTTTAGTGGGAATGACACTGATGAAGACTGCACATTGTAGTCGAAATACGTATCTGTCATGGATACCAAAATTAATTAAGTGGAATTAAATGGAAGATAACCTTTTTTGCTGTTTTATTTAGCATTCCGCTAACAATTCAATTTCATTACTTTATTATGATGGCTACCAAGCCTTTGGGGATTTTCCTAATTAGAGAGTTGTATAGATTTTTCTCCTTTAGCTTACTTAAATCTTTGGTTTTTATTAGTTAGGTAGGTGCCGATTCAACACATTGTAGTTTCATTTTTATACCTATGATCTTGACTTTTTTTTTACCTAGGGGATGAGTACTTAAGGGGGTTAGATTTTGATAAGTTCTTTAGTGGGAATGACACTGATGAAGACTGCACATTGTAGTCGAAATACGTATCTGTCATGGATACCAAAATTAATTAAGTGGAATTAAATGGAAGATAACCTTTTTTGCTGTTTTATTTAGCATTCCGCTAACAACCCAATTTCATTACTTCATCCACAAGATATTTTTAAAGATTTTTTTTTTAGATTTTTAAAGGCTCAAAAAACTTGAGGTATTCAAAAAGTTTCAAGTCTTTCACAAAAAATTTCTCCGAAATCCGAGCGCTGGCAGGCAATAATCATTTTTATTATTTAAAAAAAATCGGTATAAATGGGTATAAACCCCTCAAAAATCGGTATTCTGAGGAACCTTATCTGTTTATCGGTATCTAGTTCGGAAATCGGAATAAATACCGATAAATCGATATATCTGGAACCGCTGCCTAAGAGGAAGAGGCTTCTTTTTGACTGTGACGTGTTCTTCTTCTTCGCGGAAACGACCGTGCAAAAACTATCTCATTATGGGCAATGCAGTCGACTGTCAAAATACAAGATCATAGATTCCCTGTTGTAAAAATTCTCGCGTTTAGTTGTCGTCGTCGTATTCGCCGTCGTAGTCGCCGTAGGCAGTACCGTTAGTCAGCCGCTGAAACTATATGAATTATCGCGTTGTTCATTACATACCAAGTGAAAACTTAGTCATATTTTGTCGTAGAGTGTTGTGGTTTTGAGACACTCGATAACTCTGGATGGATCGGTCAATGAGCAGAATATTATGGGTTTAATACCAAGCTCTCCCACAACAGAATAAACCACCATCGTTGGATTCCGAGAGCATAAAGCGCAGTTAATTACCAAAAGTTGAATAGTTTAAACCATGAATTTCGGAAAGGGTGTGCGTGTGATAAAGTTTGGAAACTTTTTGTTGAGTCGGTAATAGATTGTGGTAATGTAAGGGGCACGGTGGCTATAGATCAACTGTTTTTGCTTAAGGAGTAGAAGTTAAAACCCTAGCAGTGTTGGAAAAATCATTTTCAAAAAAAGTTCTATCACAACTCATTGCAGAGATAAATCCCAAAGGAACTTCTCACAAAAAAGTTCGCGAACGAGAGATGATAAAAAGTTCATGAAAGCGTAGAGCGAGAGAAATTTTCATTTCGTATCGCGAAAGATCTTTCGTCTCTCCATCTCACATCATTTCACACGTACTCGTGATTCGAACCAACCAAATATCCCCTCAGCTTTGTTATTTTTTTCCAGCGAGTAAAGGTAGGCGATGATCACGCGAGAGTGTCTGTTTGTTTTCTTCTCGTTCTCCGATATTTTCGCATCCTTCCCAATAAATACCATTTCCAGAGAACTTTGAGATTTGGGCGTAATTGCTTTT